TTTTTAGGAGTTCCTACGTTTTAATGCTTTTAAGAGACGTAACAAAATGTCTAAGCTTTAGAAATTTTGTACTTTGGAAAAAGCTGGACCTTTATCTAGTGCTTAAAGCTGACCTACTAGTTACCACAAAACTGACCTACAATAAAYCATTTTGCCATTCCTTTTGACTCAGGTAACCACCAGAATATGTAGAAGTAGAGACWAGAAAATTCAAAAGCCAGATTTGAATCAAATTGGTGTGTTATGAGCAGAGCAGCTTTAAGACAATGGAACAAATTGTTCAATGCTTGACTTTGTTGAAAATGGCTGAATATTTCTTGCTGAAAAACCTCTCACAGTCTTCATTCTGACTCTTACTRGAAATGAAGTGGTCAGTATGTTTAAAGGATATACATCAAATACTGTATTAATTTTTCTGATGGAAATAYAGCATGAGAATTTTGAGGGCTTGCTCTAGTGTTTCCAACAATACTCCTAAGTATTGCAGTCTGTATAAAAATAACAAGTGCATTTTTAATGCAAGAAATGATTCACCCACAACTGCTAAAATTAATTGATTTTGATGTTTTAAAAAATGGTGAATTAGTAGAGATGTTCTTACCGAGGATGGTACGCTGCAGAAACTCTCTTTACTGTAGCACTGATGGCTCTTGCATGTTCTGTCTCGTCTCCTTGCCTTTTTTTTTCTGGGTTTGGAGGACAGGGTAGAGTAATRGTGACTGAGCTGTTAAAAGGTTGAGCTGAAGGGTGCTGGACATGAAACAGTGCACTAGTAGACACCACTGAGTGATACATATCATGTCTTGCTTTCAATGCTGAAATTATTGATGGATCAACTGGCTGAATCTAAACATGGAAGGAAATTGTACARTCAATTTGCAAATAAATGAATCATCTGTTGTATGTCTGTTTTATCTTTTGGAGTTGGATAGGCTACCATAGAAGAGTCAGACTCCTCCCTTTAACCCAAGAACAACCTTACCCAAATAYCAGCACTTTATGCAAAGTGCTTGAAAATCAGCAACAACTGGGACTTTTATTGACTGAAATATGTGTATTGTTTTGTTACTGACTTGAGTTCAAGTTTTGAAACTCATGAACTTCCACAGATTTTGAAAAATTTCTKAGATTTTTCTAATCTGTATTTTTTCATAATTTTAGTTTCTCCATACTTTCAAATTAGCATTTTTATGCAGAAAAGGAGAAATGTGATGAACTAAAGCAAAATTTGAGCTTATTCCTAGCCAACGACTAAAACTTTTGTTGCATGTGCTGGCACCAAGGATGAAGGTCAGGTGAGAAAAATTTGTTCCATTAACTTGACCACTGGGCCAAGYAGTTAAAGTTTCGAGTTGACACATCTGTTTTTTGAAAGGTACTTTATGTTCTGAGCTAGATCAAACAAAGGTAGATAAATCTTATTGGCTGAAGGTATCCCTAAGATGTGGTTTTAACAAAGATGACAGGAAATCTGCATGTACAGCATGTGAAGCTGCAACCACTTTTCATAGGCTTCTGATTGGAACAGATTGCACTTTAACACCTTTGGCATTCTCACTTCTGATCAGATAGGGGGCTTATGGACACAGTATCACATATTTCAAGCTTACCTTTAACTGCATAGGTGCTGGAGAACTGAATGCTTCTGGATGGTAACAGAAAGAGATTCTAGAATCCACCCTCAGCTTTTGTAAGAGTCCTGYCTCAGGAACAGTAAATGATTCTTTCTTTAAGCATGACAGCACAGAAAAAACACCCAGATGATAAATTTTCACTTCTGCAAAGCTTTCCTGAATAAAGAGAATGTGGGGTTAGAGTATGGGAGGGAAAGGAGGCTCTGTTTCACAGTGAATAAGCATTTTGAGAAGGCAACATTATTTATAGAGGAAAGTATTAAATGAAAATAAATATTATTGCCACCTGTATGCGCAAGTACYTGGTGATCTCTAGCCATCATGTGATACTATTCTTATTCCAGTGTATGATAGGGGTGAAATRAAATACATTTGTACACTGGGTGATGAATCTGGTCCAATGCAACACTTCTGCATTTAAAAAAAGCAAACCATCCTGTCTTCTTTTGATATGGAGTTTGTACTTACATACATGGGATTGTGTTACCTTGCTGTGATATAAAGGCACAGTAATTCCCCCTAAAGTTTACTTTTATCAAATAATGCAATGCACTACACTTATTTACAAAAATCATAAACCATTAATCGTTAGTATTGTGGGATCAAGCACTTGTCTAACATCATTAAGTGGAAGAAAAAGRATGTTATTAAATTCTAGTTTTCAAATAGATTTGGTTCTGAGAAAGTAGGAAGAAAAGTTCTTAAAAGTGTTCAACCACACATAGTGGGCAATGTGATTTAATGACACCTTTACTTGTATGACTCCAGAGGGACTTAACTGGGAACATCAAATGATGGCTTTATGATGATTTGACAGCAGTTACMCACCTTATGGTTTCCTTGGTATCCTTGCAAAGAAATTGGAGTTAAGTAGTTTGACTGGAAGTTCACATCAGTCACCTTCACCATAATCTCCCGATAATTTCCTCTGAAGCATGATGTGAATGGGATTGCAATGTTGATMGGGAAAAGCAGCTTTTCAGAATCATCACATTCAATACTGATGACATTGCTGACCAGCTCCTCAGAATCATCCACCACCAGGGAACTGGTGTCATTGAGTATATTGCACTTCAGATTCTCCAGAACAGTTGCAGGGGCTTTTATAAAACAAGCTATTTCATGTTTGTTTTYACCACTCTCTTTGACGAGAAATCTAGGAAAAAAACATGTTATTTGTATTTTGAATGTGGTAGTTCTTGTTTTTGTAATTAAACACTTCMATGTAATGATGGTCTATAGTGAAGCATAAGAAGATCAATCAGAAAAATAATTTTATTAATAGATGAGAAAATCATGAAAACTTTTATGTTTAGCCTGTCTCACAACAGTTTACAAATTACTGTAAAACTGACAAATTGGAGTCCTCTCCTAGTAAATTCCAGCAATCTGGGGATCATTGATCCTACTGGCTGTGACTCAGACCCTCTCTGGCATAAAAAAATTATACAAATAGAAACTTAAAGTTTACTTYAGACCGAAGGGAAAGGTCTTTATTGAACATGTTTAAATTGTAAACTGTTGTTATGTGCACGAACAGCAGCTGCACATATAAATTGAGATTCTGCACCACACGTTTACATGTAAATAAGCAATAATCATGTACATCTGTTCCTAAAAAAGAAGAAGAACATGCTTACTCTTTGTACATCCAGTACTTAGATTCTTTTACTTCTTCTGAATCACTCACAGAAGGATTCACAGCCATGAGATCATAGGTTTGTGCTGAAGATGTGAAGGTGCTTAGGTCRTTTCTAAAACTTGTTTCAATTTCATTGTCTTCCACTTTCTCTGTCAGTCTGTGCTCTTCACTTTCCAGCCCTTTTAAAGAGTCTCTGACTACTTCCTTTTTTTTCTGTTCAAAATGATTCATSATGGTTCTGTCATAAATGTCTTTCCCAGACACAATGCCTTCCTCACTGCTTCTAAGAGAATCTTGAAAAGCTGGTTCTGGAGGTTTTTCAGTAACAGAGCTACCTCCATGCAATTCATACTTTTCATTGCACTCTGTTTTCTCTGTAATAGAGACCATCAGACATCCATGCCCACAATCTTCCTTTTTCATTGGAGATTCTCTGCTAACATCCTGTTCTTGGGCAGATTTTTTTTTCAGCTAATGATGCAACTTTTCCCACAGTTTTAATTCCACTTATCTGGGTTTGATTAAGATTTTGACTTTCTGTCTTGCTCAGGGAAGGAGTTCTTTGGAATTGCTGACTGGTACAGGAAGATGCTTGCACAGAGCCTGTTTCTCCGTCCAAACAAGGCATATCTGTTTCTCTGGAAACATTTTGACCAGTCTGGTTCTGAGAATCAYCATCTTGTCTGCAGCTTGCAGCATAAAGTTTATTTTCTGCCTCTTGAAGGTGTGAGACTGTATTAATCAAATAATTCTTTACTTTCTGCAGATAATCTATAATTCCATTGTACTCTGAGGCAAAAAAAAAAAAAACCAAAACAACCAAACAACCAATTAAATTTTGTTATGAAAGCTAGGCTAAAATGTGAAAAATATTATACACATACTTATGAATCCCACATAATCCCACAGGTCCATTCAATATATGAACCACACTGTATTTCCTGGCTTCCATTTAGTGTTTTTGCATATATTGCTATTCAGGTGGAGACGATTTCTAAAGAATTGAATACAGACAAGTACATTTTTGTACTTGTCCAAGAACAACTGTGTATTTGTCAAAGTTTTACYGTGGCAACTCTAATGAGCACCTTTCTGATTATGAAACACCAACCAAATTCTTAATGACAATCAATCCAAGCTATGGGATTGATTAAAAATAGTCAAATAAATTTGGGAATATCTTTTAAAATAAACTTTAATTACATATATTTCCTAAATCCTAAGATTGTAATGTGTGGGTCTCTAGCAAAGCTGTTTCACATGGACTTAATTTTAAACTCAGATCTTAGTAGCTCTGATTTCTGCTATGAAGAATAAATGATAACACAAAACCACCAGCCCACATATAATGCTGAAGCTCAACAGTTAGTAATATCCAGTTATAGGAATGGTGAAGGTTGCTCTTGCTTGTAACTAAAACCACTTTGTGAAGAATGCACAAAAAGCACAAAATCACTATGCACCATTMATGTAAGATTTTATCTTTAACTTACATTTTTTATGATCCCTAATTTTTCTTATCTTATACTTTTTCTTAGAAAACATTCCATATATTGTCTCCAACAATTTCAGATGTATTACTCAGAGCTCTTCCCTCACCTTATGCTTTCAACCTCTGTAACTGCAGTCGTGTCTTCACTAGTTAGATATATTGCAAACCTTGGGAAATCTCTTACTTATTTCTGTTTGCTGCATGACATCCTGAAGAACCTTATTTTGCAGGTTGAATCTMGTGAAAGTCAATCCAAATAAGAAAAGAGTGCAGTACAGAACAGTGTGCTCTCCACTTGCAATGGACAGAGACACACAAGGGAAGGAAAACAGAAAGGGCTGATAAAAGTCTTACAGGAAGCCTTTCACTTACATTCTATTTTTTAAAATAATTTCAGGAGGTGAATCAATACCTCAAGGCTGTCAACTTGGAAAATAATTTTGTTAAGAATGTAATCACATAACAATGAGWAATGTTATGTGATCTGGATAAGTCTCTCATCTGTATTTACATCTGATTAATTTCAACCTACAAAGAATACAGTTCTAAATAACTTTTTTCTCATTTAACTTGGTCTAAAAATTATTCCTTTCTATTACTTCTGCAGTCTGCAAATCAATTGTTATTCGATTTTGACTGTATTTGGGGGGGGTGGGGGGGGTGGAGAGGAAGAAACAAAGAAAAGAGCAAGAAAATGCATTTTTTTAAWACTTTTAACACTGGTATTTTAAAGAAAAATATTGTTTTACTGGTTTTTTTTCACAGACACTTTTACAATAGTGAAGAAATTCTAAATAGTTGAACAGCTCTGAGAAATAAAACAAAAGGATTGGAAAAAACAGACCTTTGTTTGCAGAAGAGGTTGTAAAAGATCATTTCCCAGTTTCACTGTAAGGCAAAGTTCAAGCTTAGGCAAAACTGCCAAAATTTACACTTCCCGCCTGAATTTTGCATTTTCTAAACAAAGCAAAAAAACCCTCAAACAAATTTTACAGCTCTTTAAACTTCCCTAATATCGAATTTGAAGATGACAGGGTAGTGTGAAATAATGTCATTTTCCTATGCAGTAAATGTGACTTTTCTAACAGGGGCAAGTAAAGATATGGCCTTGTAACTGCACGCTATTGAATTATGTCCCACAGAAAACAGTTTATTCATTCAGTTACAAGGTTAACCTCTAAATAAGTCTTCTCTTGTGTTTTCCCCCTCCCCCATTGCTTTTCTAACACTTTGCTTTCTGTGCTTTTTCTGATGTTTGATAATACAGCTTTAGTATAAGAAGTAGTTTATATGCAACTGTCTCCACATCTCTTTGCTGGCTGTTTTAAGGGAATTTTTCAAATGAGGAATACTAGCTTTTTGGAAGAAAAATTATCCTTGGAAACCTAATAAAAAAAAGAATTTTAGAAAATTACATAAACCATGAGGTCAACAGAAAAGCTAGCGTGCTTGGAGCCTAGAAGGAGACTTTGTAAACARAAAACGTTTTGTTTTTATTGCAGACTTTATAAACCTATAGGTCAAAGACTAAAAAACACAAGCATAGCTAGACATGGCACCACAGAAACATCATARAATGATAGAATGGTTTTGGTTGGAATGAGATGATGTGTAAAGTTATTTCCAACGTTTCTTGCTATCACAGGCAGGGACACCTTCTRATAGACCTGATTGCTCAAAGCTTCACCCAWCCTGGCCTTGAACACTTTCAGCGCAGCCTCAAGTTCTCTGCCTTCTTCTCCCGCTTCTTGTGTCCCATTACCCTCTGAGTAAAGTGCCTCTTCATAATATCTAAATGAAATCACTCCTCTTTTAGGTTAAAAGTGTTCCCTCTTGTGTTATCACTGTATCTGATGGTGTCCATGTTAAAAAAAAAAAAACCCAAAAAAACCAACAACAAAAAAAAACAAAACCACAACACTCTTCCTCTCTTTTAAAAGGCTATTTTAAGAATTAGAAGGTTGCAACAAGGTGTGCCCAGAGCCTTCTCTTCTCCAGCCTGGACAACCCAACTCTCTGAACCTGTCTTAGGAGCGGTGCTCTGATTCCCTCTGATCATCTTCATGATCYTCCTCCAGACACGTCCTTGTGCTGGGCACTCCAGCCCTTAATGCAATACCCCAGGTGACATCTCACAAGGGTGGAGCAGAGAGGGAGAATCACCACCCTTTGCTGTTGGATACTTCTTTTTTGAGGTTTCATGTCGTTAGACCTCAGACAGAAATGTTAGTTTTCTCTTTGATACATGTTTGCTGATGTCCACCTACTGCAAGACTGAGGTGTGCATGGAGCAAAGCCCCTGTGAAAAGATATTTAAGAAAGGACAGGAAAACCAGACAAAAGTGAGGGCTGAAGGAAAAGCTKTGAGAACCAGCCCTGCAAGCAAGGTCACAGAAAAAGGAGGTACTGCAGGCATGGGGCAGAGATTCCCTTGCAGCCCATGGGAAACTAGACTGGAACAGGGGAGGAGAGGACCCCATGCCAGGGAAAGTAGATATTCCCGGAAGGATTTGCAGTCTATTTAGAATCCAGTTTTTCCTGTCAGGAACTGCAGACCAAGGGAAGGACCCACAGTGGAGCATAGAATAGAGTGARCAGGAAGGAGTATAGAGGCAGCTGTTATAGACTGAATGCTGTCCCCATTTGCCATCTCCCTGAAGTCCTCAGGAAGGGTGGGAGGTAAAGGAGTTGGGAATGATGGAGTGAGTTTGAGCGTGGGAAAAAGAAGGGGTGGAGGAAAGGTCTTGTTTCAATTTTTTTGCCTTTGCTTTTCACTATCCAAACCTATTTAAATTATCAATAACTGAAATTTTCTTTTCCCTAACTTGAGTCTATTTTGCCTATGATGGCAATTTTAAAGTGATTTTCCTGTCTTTATATTGACTCAGGATTTTTTCCATCTTATTTTCTTTCCTTCTCCTGTTGAGGAGGGTTTAGTAAGTTACTGGGTGGGTATCTGGTGTCCGGCCAAGATAAACACACCAAAGTATAGCATACATAAAACTTTGAACAAATCTTTAGTTAATTTTACTTTTATAATTTTTTTGGTCACATAATGAGAATTAATGAGTCTTGTATTGAATCTCATGGAATAGACTCAAAACCAGTGTGATGCAACTGTGGAATATGAATTAATTTGGTCTAATGGATGACCAAGTACTGAAATACCAACAAATGAAAATTAATGTCCCCCAGTGTCATGAGACARCAAAACTCAGCCTGTAATACACCCAGTCCATCTGCTCACAGCTAAATCCTTCCATACTTGCCTGGATTTCCAGTCAATTCCTTGTGTTTGTCATGGAGAGCACTCAGCAAGTGGCAGGTGTCTTGAATGGCTTCTGTAATTCTCTCCAGCTGCTGACTGAGAGCTCCGCTCAGCTCTTTTGCTAAAGAGATCAGCCCAAGCACAAACTCCTCTACACCTTCTTTATCCAGATCACTTTTCAGAAGCACATCTCTCACTAGCGAGTTCAGGTAACAGATTTTTCCTAGGACTTGTCCTGATTTCCCTGCGGGTGTAATATTATTTTCAGCCAYATCCATTTTATGTTCAGAATATGCTAATACAGTTTTTTTTTCTGCTCAAACACTTCCACAAATTGTTGTCCGTTGTTCAGGCTACTACACTGTTTAGTATTTGTAGCCTAAAATTTTAGTATTTCTAGCAGAAATTTTAAAAGTACTGTATTCCGCAAACCAAAGTCTGGCTGAGAAATACTGAGTTGATGTTGACTGTTAAAAAGTTACTAGGTGACAGAAAGGCGTGGCTGTTCTGTAACTATGGGCAAGGATTGCTAGGGGACGCCAGTGCACACCAGGCACCTCTWGGAGAGGTTATGTAACTCAGTTATACAGCAGTGACTTAAAATTTCAGGATACCTAAGAAATTTCATACTTCAGTGACTACAAATGATCAGTATCTGTGATTGGATATTCATAATTATATACACACCAAAAATGAGGAAGTTTTTTTCACTGCAACACGATATTAAATACTATAGSCAATTTGAGATTGTTTTCTAGCAACTCTTTTATTTGTTGTTCACAGACACGAAACAGGAGGGACAGGCCCAAGCTGCCATGAAGTGTGGATGATGRATTTGAATTATATGGATGCTTCAGCAGTGCAGGGGAGGATATGCCTGAAAGCCCCATTAGCAGAGTTCAGTGCTGGGCTACATCCGAGGTATCACACCAAAATATATTATAATTTAAGTAATTTACCGCAGAAATTTTTGATGTTGTGGTTTTCCTACTTAACATTCCTTATCACGGCCCATTGTMAATATAATTAATGAAACCTTAAATAGCAATTAAAATAGAATTGAGATTCAAAAACACAATGAAAATTGCATCTTAGCATTGCAAGAACTAATAAGGATTTATCAACAAAATGCTTTGAAGAYGTAAAGCACTGTATAAATGTTAAAATAACAATGAAAGATCACAAGTGACTAATAATATCTATGAGCAGGAACCAGCTGTATGCCAAAAGGAAAGTTACTTTTGACTCACTGTAGTTTGCTTGATCACACTGAAAATGCAGAAAAGCTAACAAAGAGGCATGTGCATCATTAACCTACTTGCTATTTCTGATGGTTCACTATCTCCACTTATCCAAGATTATTCCTAGTAAAAAGTAAACCCCAAAGAGAATGTATACTTTCATGTAGAGAGAGTGAAAAAAGGATCATCTTTTCACCCAAAAGGTTTGGAATATGTAAGTGAAAAATAAAAAAAAAGATGAAAAATTAAATCAATGTGTAAATATGGTGCAGTATTGCCCTGACTGACCTCTTGTTGTGAATTCATATTGTTCCCCTAACCATAAAACAACTGAATTAATCAACTCCAGATCTTCTATATGTGTATCTCCTTAGATTACTTCTGACTCAATCAATTAGCAATGTGTGGATGTAAGTTATGAAAAGAGACAATAGATTGGAAAAGACATTAGATCTAATTTTTAAAAAGTAACCTTGTGTGAAATAGATAATAATAAATGAACCTATTATCAGAATATGTTACTTATTGAAAGTTGTAGAGCTTACAGGAAGCTACTATAAGACCCTMCTATAATCACAGTTTTATAAGATATGACAAGAACTGATCTATGTTCATTTTCTTGGCCATAAGCAAATTGCTTTGATTTGGGTTTTTATTCAAAAAAAATTATATACCTAATTCCTCTTCAGTTAATATGTGTCTGTATGAATTATCTGTGCATAATCAAAAGAAAACATTGCCTAGTTTAGAAAATACATTTGTCTGAAACACAGTCAATAGGAGAACAGAAATTACKCTGATTATTTTCTGTTAAAACAACATCAAGCCTCAAAGACAAAAAAAGTCATTATAATGTTCTTCTCTGTAAACATCAATGAAACAAGCAAAAAAAAAAATCTTTTGTAAAAAAGTGAAGAATTTAATGGAATACATGGTATAAGGGCATACAATTACAAAGAATTATAGAATGGTCTGTATAAGACTTTATTATAGAGGCAATTACATTCTCACTGAAACAGTAACCACACAAGCAGTGCTATTGGGAAACATTTAATTTTTAAACACAGGATTCGATGTCAGATCTCATGACAGCAAGTGAGGCAGCAATGGCCACTTAAATTGCAGTTGACTCTTCCAGTTTTTTTACTCTTCATCAGTCATAAAGAGAATGTATATTTAGGCTGCATGATGATCAGCAGCTGTGGATCTCTAAGTTCAGTGATTCATATAGGAAAACTATTGTTATAGTTTGAAAAAAAAATAGATCCTGCACCCTGTGTTAGTTTCAGTTCCAGTGCTAGACTATGAAATCTTATTTACTGTATTTTACTATCAATTCGTTATTTCCCCTTGGTTGAAAAATGATGCTAAATTATGTGAACGGAACTCCTTAATCTTTGATGCTATTCAGTGAATAGTCTTATAATTTAAGACTTGTGTTTATGTACCATACTGACAGGTATAAGCCAATGTAACTATAAAGTTTTTGGTATCATCATGTGATTTTCTCTTGACACAYCTCTTGCTCAAAGAGATTCAGTTGCTGTAGCTGTAGCTTTCAGCGCTCTGCACGCCCCTGTGGGTTCCACAGTCCAGATCAGCCTCACCTTTGAAGCTTTCTGAACACCACAGATTGTGAAAGAATATGTTGCTGAAATTAGTAAAATATGATTGGAAGACAGAAAGGGTAAAGAAAGTAGGTAACACATGTTATTCAGATGTATTACAGGGCATATTCTCTGAAAATATGTCTGCCTATATTAACATATAGTAATAGTATACTCAGGAAAATAATATAATATCACATGTGAAAGGGTAAGTCCTTTCAATGCAATATCATAAAGAATTTAGCACAAATGTTATTTAGATAGAWTAAAATTTATGTCATACAGCAAATGCTGGAGATGCTTTAAATTTGTACTTTTGTGAAGTTAATTCAGCCTGGATTAGTTATCTGAGATGATTTACTGTGCAGCACACCAGTTACAAAGAGGATGTAGAGACTTTAGGAATAAGCAGACTTGATAAATACAGTATTAGTCAGTTCTCCAATTTGTTCTTTCAGTTTGCACTTTCAGCCTTTGCTACAGAAAATCCGAGCAGAGGAAAAAAAGACACAGACACACAAAGGGACACACAGAAAAGTGCTCCAGGGATATCTGATCAGCAATAATTCTAGGATTTGGCCACCGTAGATCCTCAGCCTCACTGGAAATCCTTGCCTGAAATAATATCCTTTAACTGAAAAAGAATCAGGCCATACTGGTRGGATGAAGACACAAGGTGTCATGTTATCCATTGCCCATGGACATCCCTTAATTACTGTTACAATAACAGACTCACAAGAAAAAAGATAGGGGTGTCCAGCAACCCAMTTGTTAAAGTRGGGTGCWCTGCTCAGGTAGATAATATAAKGCACAAGGTAGAAAATGAATACAAYTAAGAGACAGTATGTAAGAAATAAAGGTATAAAACTAATTGTGATAAATATCAAGTTGTTACTAGGTTGGGTTTTCAAGTCTTGTGAYGTGATTTATTTGTTTGTTTACTTATTTTATGTGAACGAACTCAYAACAAAAGACCTGTGCATTCATTCTCAGTTTAGTTCTCCACTGAAACTTGGCTTTCCAGTGAGTGATTCTATTCTTCAGCAAGGCTACATCRGCAGAAAAAAACAAATTGGAAAATTGGCTCTGTGCTTGATTTTGTTTTAAAACAATTCTTAWTCTTGGGTTACTCTCGCATTTAACTGATTCTCTAAGTATTTGAAAAATCCTTTAAAAAAGGAGCTTTTTTTATTCTGTATTAAATTATAGCCTTGGATGTTGGCAGAACAAAATATCAAATTTTGAAAAATAGGGATCAAATTATACATTTAAATTAAGTTACCCTTTAGCAGACATGCATGTTCTTTTCAGAATACCTTAGCAGGGTTGCATAGCTGATAACAAAGGAAGTGGACTTTGTTCTGCTARGAAAATAGATTAGAGTGAATGGTGCAGATCCAATAAGCTCTGTCTATATACTCTGCGTATAATGCAAAGTTCAATATGTGACAATGAATACATTTTGGTGTGTTTATTGATCTATTTGTATTTGAAAAATATAGGTAATGGTTTTTCTTCCTGTTCTGGTATTCTAAGGCCTGAGTGGAAAAGCAGTAACAGTATAAGAAAAATGAAGAAAGCRTTACAGAGGCACTGTGCCATAGAATTTATATCTAGTTCATGTAAATACTTCATTTAGCACTCTATCACAGTGAACAATGGTGGATTTTTTAAAAAAAGACACAATCCCTTTGAAATACATAAGCATAACATGGTTAAGAAAGGTATCTGTMTCTGAATGCAGTCACAGCACTTGACTTTAAGCCAACTTGATCATGAATCTGGTGTTCAAGAGCCTCACATTAGGAAAAGCAAAGCCCCAGAGCTGAGAAGGGAAGGAAGTCTGAACTTGTGCTAAACCCCTGTATGGGGCAACCTTTATACCCATATTCACTTAAATGCATGGTGGTATTGGCTAAGTTGGCCRTTAAATTCAACTTCTGTGGAGCTTTCAGGCAACCACGTAAAAACAAACCATGTTGTTGGAATGGCAAGAGGAACTTCTAGCCCATCCAATCTGTTCTTTACTACTTTAGCACAGACATACAAAATATAGTGAGAATGCAGGAGAAGATGAAAATACCAATACATACTCTCAAATTCATATACGGTATTATCCTATTTACTATCTTCTACAGGAAAGAGTCTTGGGAATCTATCTGAAATTCTTCTCTGTTTGAAATCCAGCTTGAACTGTGAAATGCATAAGCAATAACCTAATTGTAACCTTTAGGAAAAGCTAATTCTTGAAAGAAAAATGCTTTTTTTTYCATGTGATCAGCAATACAATTTTGTAGTTATTGAACATTATTTATGTTGGTTTAAATTAATGTTTAATTATACAAGAAAAACTGTAGGCATTTCTATCCAATATYGATGTAACATTTGGAATTAAATTTTGGAAAGAGAGAGGCTATAGAAACATAACATGAAAGTGTTGTTTTCACTTGATAGTGTTTATTTTTATAATGAGAAAGTTCCAGTCCATTCATACTGCTTTCCTCAATACTGGAGTTAAACTTTCGTTACTCTGAAGAGATACTTTTGGTACAAAGCAATGTTTGAAGAAAGTKTTACATTTTCTGCATAGAATAAAGTGAAAAAGATAGTTCTATCTACATATAGAATGTTGTCCTATCATCAGTTTCAGTGGAGTTTGTAATATAAGCTGAGTGTTTGAAGGAGATTTCTTAAACAGCAATCAAATAAAAAATTGAAAGCAGAATGCTTATGCTATTCTTTGTTTATCTGAAATAACTAAGATGATTGGTAGTTTCCTGGTACTCCCAGGTAGCTACCCTGCTTTAAACAGTTAAGATTTTACATTTGAGGCTGTTGTTTATTCGTTGTTTTGAAAAGAAACAGAAAACAAACAAACTGTTTGTGAATGGGGGGTATACAGTAAAACTCTGAAGACTTGATAGCTGTCAGTTTCTAAATAAACCTAGTAACTTTACAAGAAGCTATTCATGGACTGATGGGGCATCTTCATTTTGAGTTTTCTATTGAAGTGTCATTTGTACATGCAGTAAGCCTCCTGTTTAGCACCTTTGATAGAATYAAAATCCTGGGAAGAGAGTCAGCTATTGAGACTTGCTTTCTTTGTTTGGTCAGAAAGCAGGAAAATAGAAAACAGAAGAGAGAGGACAGGTTGTCCAGAGAAGTTATTCCAGAGAATATTATCCCTGAAAGTATTCAAGGCCAGTTTGGATGGAGCTCTGAGCAACCCRGTCTGGTGAAAGGTGTTCCTGCCTGCAGCAAGGGATTGGGACTAGATGATTTTTGAAGTCCCTTCCAATTCAGGCCATTCTACATTTCTACAAATCTATAAGAATGTGTTTCATGAGACCTAAAAACAGTGTGAAAGTGCATTTAACTACAAACAATTTCAACACTGATTGTGTTATGGAAATCTTTTCCTCTAGAAATAGTTCTGTGATGTCCATCATATTTCATTACTTTCCATGACAAATTTGCTTAAGCAACAAGTAATGAAAAAGAGAAGGAAGTGGCTTAGATGGTGACCTTTAAATCTAATAGCATCTTTTAAAGTATCATATGTGGTTTCTGTTGAATTTGAGTAAGCCAGTGGTGTATAGATAAAACTTCAATGATGTGTGATTCATTACAATTCAATGAACTGCRCAAAAGACGAATATGGGGGAAAACTGAGCACTTTGATGTGCAGTAAATTCCCTCAGAGGGATTTATTTTCAAGTAAGTAAAATAATGTTCCATTACAATTCTCAAAAACAACAGGAAGCCATGTCAATGTAACTAGATCCCCTAAATGAGAGCAATAGCAAAGAAATAAAAAACCCTGAACATGCCACATTCTTTGAAGTTGCATTTGTATTCAAAAGCAACTTGAAAACCTTTAAATATAAATGAGAGAAAGATGTGCTAGAATAAGGTCCCACAATGAACACAGATTCTCTGAAAGAAAATATTRAAGCCACTAGATTTAGATTTTCTAGAGACAGATTTCTTGGAGAAATTGTAGTCAATAACTAGAACG